AATTTATAGATGTCTTAAACTTGTGATGAAGATAAACTTGGTACTTGATTTATAACAAATGAATAATTGAAGTGATACATTGTATGTTATAGTTTAGTAAAGATTTAACATTATTATGAATAAATGTAATATTGATGGAGAATAAATAATTTATGGAAAGTAATTTGTTGATAATCTGGAATGCGTGTCACGGTCATGAAGTCTTGTAGTGAAAAGAAACTCTTGACTTTGTGATGAGGGGTCCGCTACAGATTTTGATATTTGTGTGGTACATACTGGAATCTGGAATGTGAGATACGATCGCTGAGTCCTGCAGTAAAGAAATACTCTTGACTCTCGATGAGGGATCCACTGCAGGTTGTATGTTCTGTGAATCTGGAATGCGAAGCACGGTCGTGGAGTCCTGTAGCGAACTATAGTTACTGACTGTAGTTAACTCTTGACTCTACGATGAGGGGCCCGCTGCAGATGATCATATGTGTTGATACTGAAATCTGGAAGGCGTGACACGGTTGCGGAGTCCTGTAGTGAACTTAACTCTTGACTCCGCGATGAGGGGTCCGCTGCAGACTGAAGTAGCTATGTGTGATATGATGAATGATGTGCGAAAATAACTAGACTTTGAGTGTCTTCAGTTGTTTGGGTAGTTATTACTAATCAATGTTTTTGTTTACATTATACTTATATGATTATTGATTTATATAAATACAAATAAGTTTGAGGACAAACTCTTTTTATCAGAATGGCCGAATGTTAGATTATAATAGTTACGATAATAAATATACAGAGCTGTATAGCAGATATATTTATAATAATTGAATGTTGACATGATCTTATATGCCGATTAATAATGAATTGTTTAATTATAAATAGAAGTAATGTTATTGATATCGACCGAGTTAGTTTCATAATTTTTATAAAAATAGTGAGGGTACAAAACTGATCTGTAAACGATATTTAGAGATAATTATTCATTCTTGTCTTGGCCACAGTTGTGTTAAGACGTACAAATAAAGTATTAGAATATAAAATACGTTTTCATTTCTGGTAATAGCTAGAAAAAACCCATTTAGCTATTAATAGTATAAAACAAAGTCGCTGTCGCTGTCTGTCCCTGTGTATTCTTAAACGTTTTTGAAATAGATAAAGTGATTGAAGGGGATGGTTTATATGTATACGTGTACACCCGGGGTGAGTAGCTAGTTTAGAAATAAAGCGTACAACATGAAACAATGGACACCCGCACGGTAAATTTAAATACATCTCTTAGCTGACAAGCATTTATATATTGTCGACATCCACACCATGTAGGATAAGGCTAGACGGCTACAATATTCACAACTCTATTAAAAGTCCAAACACCTAGCGATCTAAGTGTTTTCTATATATATTACGTATGCTTTCCAAATAAACTAATTATACAAACAAATACACTCATTCCAAAGTTTGTGTCATATAAGGAATTGAACCCGCGACCATCGAAAGCAAAGCGGTGTGCTAAACCGCCGACCACTGAGACCGTCAAGTTATATGTAAACTACATATAAAACATATTCATCACTACTATATGTTTACTACGCAATTAGTAATCAACAACACTAGTGGTATTTCCAACATTTTACAATTTAAATTCTTACGGTAAATTATAAAACGCGTCATTCCAAGAAATTAGCGGTGTGAGAAATTATAATTGCGTATCATATGAAGCATATCACTGGTATCATAAAACACGGACGAGCGAGAGAGATGTCGCATGTCGTAACATAGTTTATCGGACTACTCTAATGCTTCGCCGTAACTGACCTTTACAGCTTCACCGGACGATAGGGCGCGAGTGCAGATGGCACTCCAAACCCGCGGAAGAACTTATACTTTTTTCGGACTACTCTAATGCTTTTCGCCTCAGCTGGCCTTTAAAGTTTCATAGATAATGGGAGGTGAGTGCAGATGACACTCCAAACCAAAGAAAAGACTTATGAAGCGGCAGAAAATGTCATTTCGAACATAGTTTTTTTTTTACACTCTAATGTTGTTGGCCGCAGCTGGCATTTATAGCTTCACCGGACGATAGGGGACGAGTGCAAGGCAAGGCACTCCCAACTCGCGGAAGGACTTATGGAGCGGCTGAAGGCCAACTTTTTTCGGACTACTCTAATGCTGTTCGCCTCAGCTGGCCTTAACAGCTTCACCAGACGATAAAGGCGAGTGAGATGACACTCCAAACCAAAGAAAGGACTTATGGACCGGTTGAAGACAACTTTTTTCGGACTACTCTAATGCTGTTCGCCTCAGCTGGCCTTTTCAGCTTCACCGGACGATAGGGGGCGAGTGCAGATGACACTCCAAATCCGCGGAAGAGCTTATGAAGCGGCTGAAGGCCAACTTTTTTCGGACTACTCTAATGCTGTTCGCCTCAACTGGCCTTATGTCCAATATTTTTTCCGTCCCAAAATTTGAAACTATTAATTCGTGTGCTTAACTCATGGCCAGAGGGCATATAAAATTATCAATTATCGTTACAGCATTCCTAAACATCACGAATTATGCATATTTAGTGGAGATCTCACCTACATCGCGCGGCCTACACTACAATCTCAGATCTTTGGTTCGCTCTACGTTCACTAGGGATGTGAAATCATAATCGATTATAGTAAAATCGATTATTTGACCAGTATCAATTATGTTTTCACATTCGATTCGAAAAATCACTAGGGAGTGATTTTTCGAATCAATTTCTTTTTCATCTGAACAAATGGGTTAATACCAAATGTTTCTGGTTAAAAAATACGCATACAAACTGAAAAAAAAAAGTACACGAAATAATCGATCTTTCTTACAATTATCGATTTTTTGGAACCCTTGCCCATTGATTGTTTTTTTAAGTTACCACACTTAAGGCACACAATCAAAGGCCAAGATACCAAAAAATTAATAATTGTAAGTAAAATCGGTTATTTTTAATCAAAACACAATCGATTAGTTTATAGTCTAATTTTATGCAGATTGTCACATCCCTAGTATCAACAAACAACATTAGCGTCGCCGTAAATTGTTCACATGACGTAACAGTACACCGCAATCTTTCCGCGGGGTGAGCGGGATGTAGAAATCAGTGTTTGGCTATTAAATGAACGATAACATGGAAATATTATATTTCGAATATGTTACTAAAAAAATAGTTAACTTATTTTTTTCATTCTTTAAAAAGTACATTACTTTTAAAGATTGAAAGAATTTTAGAAAGCGGTGAAGCATTTATATTTTTCAGGCGGGAGTTGGCCTTCAGCCGCTTCATAAGACCTTCCGCGGGTTTGGAGTGCCATCTACACATTTTATTATTAACAATTTTATGATATTTTATATATACAGAACATCAACCTAAGATTTTCACATATAACAACATGGAAATGTGTTGGCCCAACTAGTTGTCACTAGGAGAAATAGGCGCGAAGTGTGTGCTGTGCGCACTGCAATAACTCTCAATTATCGACATCAAAGCAGCAAGTGCGGCGACTGTATCCCGACGCTAAACAATTTTTTTAAATTAATATTTCGAATAATCGATTAACAAGACGCCATGTTGCTGATATACTGGCCACACAGCTTTATAATTTATATTTTTTATTATTAAGAATTTTATTATATGTTATGTACACAGAACATTAATCTAATAATCAATGTAGTGATATTCAAATGTGATTTTCTATTCTATTCTGAGAATTTTTTCAGATAACAATATGTAAATGGATTTTCCCAAGTAGTCGTCAGAAGGAGAAATAGGCGCGAGATGTAGCTACTATGCGCACCGCAATAACTCTCAATTATCGACATCAAAGCAGCGCGAGCGTCTACTATATCGCGCCACTAGATTATTTTTTTTAATATTCAAATTTCGAATAATCTATTAACAAGACGCCATATTCCTGACGTACTGGCCACACAGCTTTATAATTTATATTTTTTATTAGTAAGAATTTTATTATATGTTTTGTACAGAGAACATTAAACTAATAATCAGTAATATTCAAATGTGATTTTCTATTATATTCTAAGTATTTTGTCAGACAACAATATGTAAATGTGTTGGTCCAACGAGTGGTCAGTAGGCGAAATAGGCGCGAGATGTAGCTACTGTAGGCACCGCAATAACTCTCAATTATCGACATCAAAGCAGCGCGAGCGCCGACTGTATCGCGCCACACGCGACCGCCTCGATAGTGTGTTTCGCGATAATCGATAAATTTTCATAGACAACTTCTATTTTTTTTTTATAAATCCTAATAATAATAATCTCAGGACAATTCACACAGAGCCATCTAGTCCCAAGATCAGCTAGCTAAAGCTTGTGTTATGAGTACTAGACAATAAATAGACATTTTTTTTCGTAAATATGAGATGTCTATGTATAATATTATACATGGAAAACATCCAAACCAATACAAACAATCATACTCGTGAGTACAAATGTTTGTGGCGTGCAAGGAATAAAACCCGCGAACATCGGAAGGAAGGAAATTTTAATAAAATTAAATTTTTAAATTATTAATAGAGATAAAACGTCTACAACTCAGAGAGGTCAGTGAGTCCACCCTCACCATAGAATGTCTTATGATGAGTTAGTATTCCTAATGAGTGGTAAAATAAGTACTTATTTAAAAAAAAACCCATTGACGCTTACTGTACTTTTACGTATTGAAATTCCAAATTACTAAGGCATCATGCCTATGAATACGGTAATTTGTGACTGGATATAGCCAAATCGAGTGAATTCATAGAAAAATGCCTTTTCGCGTATGGGCTATGCACACACACCACTCACACAGTTTTTTTTTCTTTGTATATAGTATTTTATCTGTAAATCTGTGTTGTATTATATTTTGTTGGCTGACCAATGAAATTGTGTATCTACTTTTATTTTTATTATTAATATTACAGTGCCTTGTGTGTCTTTAACGCAAATATTTTTTTTATCTATCTAAAAACAAATATAAACTTCATACCTTTTGTTTCCCATCACGCTTGACGTCAGCAGATCGTTCTGAGTCCTGCCAGAGAAATGAGAAAAACATGCATTGGTTACAATGTTAGGAAAGCAAAGAAATTGTCAAAAATACACCTATTAATTAACATTAATATGAAAAAATCGCGTTAGAATAAAGAATGCATAGAGAAGGAAAGATCAAACATTTATACCATTTAACAGAGATTAAAGAAAATACATGCTTTATTAACTCTTTGTTAAGAAAAAGAAATAAAAATATAATATTAGATAGACATCCATACTTCCTTACTAATATTAAAAAGGCGAAAAGAACTCTATCTTACGCGCGTTCACGCCATAACTACTGAACCGATTTAAATGAAAATTGGTACACAGATAGTCTAGATCCTGAGAAAGGACACAGACTACTTTTTAATGCGAAAGAAGGGTTGTAAGGGGATATGGAAGTTTGTATGAAAATTCGTAATTTTTTAAGCTAGAACGATGAAACATTTTTTTTTATTTGTTTAATAATTAGCCTACACAATTAAAAATGCGATCGAAGGCTCCTAATCCACGCAGACGAAGTCGCGGGTATAGCTAGTAACCTAGGACCTTTATAATTATGCCAGATGGGATAATCAGAGACATAAAATGTGACGGGAAAGAAAGTACTGGGAAAGACGAGGTGATAAACGCCACTTGAGTTATTCACATTTCGTTAAGTAAGTACATTTGATTGCAAATTGATTTGCGCCCTCTTTTTGATTAATTATTTTGATATCGATGTTTCCATTACCAGAGGATTCCCCGACTGACTAATCGGAAATATAAATTAGCGAAGTTTAAAATAAATAAAACATCAATAAACAAAGAACTCAATATTTATTTCATTTATAAAGATTTAAATAGTATTTTTTGCAATCTAATATATAAAAATTGCATTTTTAGTATGTACTACATATAGCTAGTTTGAATAATATATTTTAATGTATCAACAAGGGAGTTAGAATTGTAATATAAATTAAAATAAAAACTGAATTAAAATCAATTCTTCCATTTCTAAGTTAGGTCATATAGCCATATTTTTTTGTTTCTATTGTATTTAAGCACTATTCAAATATTTTTCGCCTTTCTAGGTGTTAGAAATAAAACTTGCGTTGTCTTTTATGAATTTATTTTGTTATTAGAATATGTCAAATTATAAAAAGTAATAAATCTGTACAAAATGTATAGTATCGGCAACACTAGGTATAGTTAAACATGCACAAAACACATAATAATTAAAAGTAATTACACATTATATTTATAATACTCATCTAATAGAAATAAAAAGAATAATAAATTTTATAAAAGTCTATATCAAACTACAAACAAAATTTTACCGCCAAAACATTATTCAAACAAAGAACAACAGATTATAAAACATCGTACACCATAAACAAAACGTACAGCCAAATTTCAATCAATAAAGCTTTACAAGCGTGTTCAGGAGATACCATTAATTAATCTGAACGATTAACAATAAATATCGATCGTAAAATTAATAAGCTCAACGTCACTTGTGTATCGATTGTGCCGAGTCACGAGAGTGTAATAACGGCTGTTTATTGGCCAAAAAATATTCATCTGATAATCTACAACGAAGGGAGGCAAAGGAAGTACTTTATAGAGCTATGTTTTACAATGAATAAATTTAAACCGAAATAATTTAACTAACATCTTAAACTCAAATACAGAAATTATATTTCAGAAGTTCTAAAATTATAATTATTTTATTAATTAATATTTCTATTCTCTATTTACTAATTAATATTTACTCTACATTTTTTTATGTCACTGGAAAGGCAAATTAACTGTCTAAAGCATAAAGTGACTCACGTGGAAGATCTATAAGGCCTTAGGGTCTAGGCCTAGGCCTCGCAACCCATAATTTTAGTGCCTCATCTCATACTTGAAATCGGAATACAGCTACCAAAGAAATCTAATAAAGGCTGAAGTATGTAAGAAAATATTTCAGAGGAGAAACTTGAGTAGAGCATACCTAAGTAGCAAGACTAGGGTTACCTTAGAACACGACTTTATACGAAGTTTCAATTTGGTAAATATAGTGTCGAGTTTTAGCAAATCTACTTCGCATCTATGGTAAAATGTACATATAATTAAACCGGATTAGATTCCCCGCACGGCACACACATTTGTATTAATGAGTATCATTGTTTGTATTTGTGTGGGTGTTTTCTATGTATAATTACGTATTTACGAAAAAAAATATATCTATGTATTAGTATCAGTTATCTAGTATCCATAACACAAGCTCTAGCTAGCTTAACTTGGGACTAGATGAATGATGAGTCTGTATTACTGTAAATATTTATTTTAAACGATATACGAGCTGAGTTTCTTGTCCGTTCTTCTCGTCTCGAAATCATTCCGAACTGACGGTAGATTGGACATATCATAATAGTCTGTAAAAGACCTACACGAATACAGATAATTTGAATTTAGTATTGTATGTTTTATTTACACAGCTTTTGTTAGGTTTTTTATTATTATTGTTTAGGATAAAACTTGCGTTCAGACTTTCATGCATTTATTTTGTTATTGAAATGTGTCAAATTATCGGCAACAATTATGTTATAATTCTATATTATTAACACAAGAGTTAAAATAATAATATAAAATGGGTCAAAGGTGCCTGACATAGTGATCTATCAAAGCACAGCCGAAACCTCTGGACGGATCGGGCTGAAATTTGGCATGCAGGTAGATGTTATGACGTAGGCATCCGCTAAGAAAGGATTTTGATTAATTCTACCCCCAAGGCATAAAATAGGGGATGAAAGTTTGTACGAAACTTTGTCAATTTTAAACCGATCGGACTGAGACTTTGCATGCATAAAGCTACTATGATGTAGGCGTCCCCTAAAATAGGATTTTAAATTCCACTCCTAAGATAAATTAACGCGAGCGAAGCCGCGGGCAAAAGCTAGTAATAATATAAAATGGGTATACGATTTTTATATTCACAGTCCGCGCATGCCCCGTAATGTGAGAGCGACCAACCGCTGACCCACATACTCCAAGTGAAGCCTTGATCTAGGCCCGCCATTAGCCACGCATTCGGAATAACTCCACTGTCCTAGCCTAATTAAAGGCGCTAAAGGTGCGCTCACACGATCATAATACTAAGGAGGAGGGGGAAGGGGATTGTTAGTAATGTGGATTGATAACCCCGTTGCTAGCAATGTACCATGTCAGGTCGACCTCCACGCGGTTCCCCCTGGAAACCATCGTGTTAAATTCCTGGTGAATTTGTCACGATGGGCTAACTGACCTGACCTCATGCTCATCTTATCATCCTCCACTGGTGCCCCGCCAGCGTAAACCGTTAGCGCAGGCGGGTGCACCATTCCATTATCATCCACAAAAAAAAAAACCCGCGTTCCTGGGGGGAAATGGGATTGTTAGTAATGTGGACTAATGAACCCATTACTAGCAATGTACCATATCAGGTTGACCTCCACGCGGTTCCCCCTGGAAACCATCGTGTTAAATTCTTGGATTGAATTTGTCACGATGGGCTAGAAATGACCTCATGCACATCTTAATTATCCAATTGCCCCGCCATAAACCGTACCATGTCAGGTTGACATCCACGTTATTCTCTCAAAAAGAAAAAATCTAATTAAGGGGATTAGTAATGTGGACTGATGATCTTATTGCTAGCAATGTACCATGTCAGGTTGACATCCACGTGATTCTCTCTTGAAACCATCTTGTAAATTCTTGGTGAATCTGTCACGATGGGCTAACTGAGTCAACCTCGTGCTCATGTTATCATCAACTGGTGCCCCGCCACTGAATATCTTTAGCATAGGTGGGTGCATCATTTCATCATCATCAAAAAATGCCACCGTTGGTGAATACGCCTTTATTAATAGGTAATAAACCCGAATTAAATAATAATAATAAAGCTGAGAGAGTGAGACGATAGTGATAATAATAGTAATAATAAATTTTATCAAGCCACAATTATGTACAGGTATTGATTAATTTTTATAAACAATGTGTTGTGATTGTATGAGCCTGGGAACTGAACTAGGCACGAGGCCTGTATCTCAGTAGACCAGTACTCACCCCTCGGTTGTGCGTTCTACTTAGATTTACACAGTAAGATTATGGCAACATCTAGTTATCTATAGTGTTATTAGGTAAGTATAAAATATGTATAAATGAGTATTCAAAAGGTTAGGCTATGACTTCATATAACTTTGGAGATATGATTGCCTCTATTTTAATAAACAAACATATAAACTACTAAAAATAAATAAAATTACTAAATTAAAGTAGCCTAAGTTACTCGTTATAGCTTTAGTATTGCTATCTGCGAGTGAAAGTCCCGTCAAAATCGGACTGAGTTTCAAAGATTAGTAGAGACAAACAGACAGACAAAAAATTCATTTAATTTTTTGATGTATGTAATGTATATACTTTTAGTGAAAAGCTGTTAATTTGAAATTACAAACAAATGCTTCAATTTTATTTATGTAAGCTTTAGTGCAAAATACAATTTACATAATATATATACACAATACATTTTTTTGTATACATATGGAACGCATAACATCTTAATATAATAACATTAAAAACGCGAAGAGTATGTATGTTTGTTACTCTTTCACACAAAAACTACTGAACGGATTTTGATGAAACTTTACAATAATATAACTGATGCATCGGAATAACACATAAAAATAGAATAGAATAGAAAATCCTTTATTCAAATAAACTTTTGAATAATCATAACATTTTTTTTAATCTGCCGCTCATTCGGAAAGCTGTCTCATCACAAGAAGAACGAACAAGAAACTTGCGTGTTGCTCTTTTAAATAATCTTATATAAGTTATATTTTTATTGAAGCCAGTAAAAAATAATGTAATAATTGAACATCATAATTACATTACGTAATAAACCTCTCTGTTCTAGTCTGCCCTTGGATATTTACTTGTTGGACGATGGTAAGAATAACATATGTTCATTTTTGTATTATATCCCCCAAC